GCTTGTTTTACAACGTCGTTGCCAAGCGACGAAAACCCAACCCCGATAGCAAAGACCGGGGGGGGCGGCTTGTTTTACAACGTCGTTGCCAAGCGACGAAAACCCAACCCCGATGGCAAACACCTGGGCACCAACAGGGGGTGTGATAATAACAAGGGGGTGTGATACCGTCGCCCGTGTGATGAATCGCGCTCACAGGACCCGGCTTACAAGGGTTGTGATAACAAGGATGTGTGATGACACGGGGGTGCGATAACAATCGGGTGTGATCGCTTCACCCGTGTGATGAAGCGCGCACGCAGGACCCGGCCTGCCGGGGGTGTGACAATAATGTCGCCCGTGTGGTTGCAGTGCGCTCACAGGACCCTACCTACGGGGACGTGATGAGTCACCCGAGTGACGCAGCTCAAGGAGGCACCCACCTACAACGGGCGTGAAGGGGTGTAAAATAGGTGTGATAGCTAGGGTGGCTCACGCCACTCCATCACGTACATGCTTTCCCACGTGCATTGTCGCAGTATCCTTTGTAAATTCTTCGCATACACAACGAACACGTAGTACCGATGCCTCATCGCGGTTGTGCCGGTGTTGTGTGCGACAAAACAACAGCACGCAGGTACCTGGACGACGCAATGACTTGCAACAAGACTTGCGTTCACCACTCAAGCTGGAACTACATTGGACGCAAGCAAGTGCCAGCTACATAGATATCAACTTAAGCTAGAAACAACATCAAAGGAGAACAAGCGACTGCCGAAAGATATGATACACAGGACAAATTGGCTCAAATCGCAGCTTTGGCTGACTTGACCATGTCATGCAACTACGGTAGGTAGATACCAGACAAGACACTCAGTCTATGCAAACAACGTCCGCCCCCGGCAAGTCTACCATGACCTCAACCTCTGGGTCATCGATGCCTTCGCCATCTCCCGTGTTGTCATCGTCGTCGATTTCCAACAAATCCAACGAGTCTGCCATCGTCTCCCCTCCTCCGATGGGCCAACCTCCTCCACGCCGGCAGCGGCCGCGTCGCCGCCTGCACGAAGTGGTTTCCCTTGGGCGTCGGAGTTGAGCTTCTTGTTGGCCCACGCCTCGTCTTCAGACCCATCGAAGGCAAGAGTCATGCCAGCCTTCCTCCAGCTCGAACGAATGCTCTCAGGGTCCATTTTATCCCACGCTTTCTTCTTCACCCACTGCGCGAGCAATCCCCTCGATGGGGGCTCCGGGTGGCCGCGGTCGTTGCGCACGGCGTCGGTGGAGGCCATGTGGTCGTCGTGCAGCCTGGACATGTTGGACTTGAAGAGTTTGTTGACAATTCCATCGCGAGGCTGGATCTTGGGCGTTGGGCCTCCGGGGACGAACAACAGCGTTGTGTTGGACTTGTCCATCGCTTCCTTGCACAGGGCTGTCTTGTGCACGATGTAATCGTCCCACGATAGCAGCGTGTCCGGCTGACGGTATTTGCCCAGGACCCCCTCACGACCCGGACGCCGGTTCCATAATTGGGGGAGCCAAACATCCCTGAAGACGCGCTGCGTGTGCCACGCCTTGTCGTCTACGGCGTACACAACGCGCTGAGGGTATGCTACCCCCTTCTTGTCCTTGCCCACCCTAAACTCTCGTTCGACGCTGTTTGCGGCGGGGGGTTTTCCCGGCGCCGTGGGCTTACCCTTGAAGATGAGCAGCGGCGGGAGTTTGCCGCCCTTCATGTTTGCTGCAAGCACGGCAGTGATCCGCAACTTTTCCTTTCCACCGGTTTTGATGGCCACCGCTTTGTGGCCGGTGTGCTGCGAACGACAAAAATAAAAAGCAAAAAGCAATAGAGACAGTAGAGGCGCCGAAAAAAGTCCATTTTGTAGATGAGAATGACAGCTCTTCACGCACAAAGTAACATATTGGTTTTGCAGTACAGTGATGATGGAAGCGAATGGTGAGAAAATTCTAACGCGGCATAAGCACAATGCCAACATCGTCTAGCCTTACTGGCTGGACACTGAGTGAGTACACGGCAAAAAATATGGCACCACAGTGCGCATTGTTTGCACGGAATGCCAAGAAACGACAAGGCAGACAGGCACATGATTCAAAACAACGCGATTTATTTGTACTCATCGCCACGGTCGACGTGCCAGCGGCCTCCATCCACACAGTAGTTTCATCCATGCTGTAGCTCTGCTCCTCCTTGAACAACAGAGATGGCTTCAAAGGCGCACTGCTCGCTGCCCCCCCCGTGCCCCGTCCTCCCCCACCGTCGATTCCTCCGTGACGAAGTGCCCTCCATTCCTTGACGGTTTTCATGGCAATCGCAGGCCACCCGGAAGGGAGTTTTTGGCCTTGCCTGGTAACCGCCCGGCATGACAACCGGTTCTTGAGAAACCTTCTGCACCAGTGAGTCTGCTTGTTGCGGTACTTTCTTTTGCCCTCCAGGTCGTTCGCTGCAGGCCTCGGGCCAAACCAAAGCGAGTTGAGCGATACCGTCCTGTTCTTTGGTTTGCTTGAGCCATGATAATCCGCACAAACACCCATGTGTTGAACCCGCCCCGGGGGAACGTGGGGCTGCTGGAACGACTCCCTCAGCAGCCGCGCATCACCGCACGTACTTATTGCTGAGGCCCGCCCAACACAATCTACCGCTGCTGAGACTCCTACAGCACCGGCTGCGCCTGCCACCGCGGGTGCCGCTGAAACCCGCGAAGGAGAACCTAGTGTTGAGAGTCTCACAGCACCCACACCCGCACCCGAGCAGGCAGCTCTCCCGCCAATCATCAACACCCTGAGCGCGGCTACTGCTGATAACCCTGCAGCAGCACCGCGCTGCTGCGGAGAACCATCGTGCACCAATAAGCCCTTGTGGGCAGAGCCAGGGAAGGATATGCCGGAGTTTTGGGGCAGGCATGCGAAGTCTGGCGACGTCTAAATCAAATTGAGGTGTGCGCAGAGCGTCTTGCAGTTTGCAGCACCGCTGGAGTCTTACCCACTGCAGTCTGAGTCGCGGGGCTTTCAGCAGGGTTGCTTACTGCACCACCCTCCACGGCATCGTTGGCCTCCATGGCCTTTGTGAGTAGGTTGTTGCTTGTGATCTCATGCCCTCACGTTGTCACACCGTGTGATAAGCGGGGGCTCCGTCGATACATGCAGCCCAACTTCAGGGGTGTGGTACCTTAAGTCACCGTGTGATAAAATGACGCATTTTTCGGGATTGAAAAAAATAGAACACTGGCTGCTCTCGCATGTAGGCAAGGTACTCGCCAAGACCATCACCAACCGCCTCAGCGCATTCTGCGAAGCCAACGGAATCCTCCCGGAGGAACAGTGCGGGTTCCGGCCTGGCCGATCCACGGTATGCATGCTGTTCGTTGTGCGCCGACTCCAGGAGCTGGGGCGGAGGAGGAGAATCCCGCTCTACATGTGCTTCATCGATCTGCAGAAGGCATATGACTCGGTGGACCGGGAGCTACTGTGGAAGGTGCTGGCCCGGGCCGGGATCCCCGGGGAGATGATCGCCGTCATCCGCAAGTTCCACGTCGGAATGCGGGCCCGGGTCCGCACGGACGATGGGGAGCTATCGGACTGGTTCCCGGTCACGCAGGGATTACGACAAGGGTGCTCAATGTCCCCACTGCTGTTCAACGTCTTCTTCGCAGCGCCTCTCGAGATCATTGTCACACGGTTCAGCCAAGATGAGGTTATC